GCTAGTAATTGTTGTTGTTGGTGTTGTTGTTGTTGCTGCTGCTGTTGTTGTTGTTGTTGCTGATGTTGGTTGTTATCGTCGTCCCCCCTGCGGCCCACCCCGCGACCCACCCGCGACCCACCCGGCGACACACCCCGCGATCCACCCCGCGACTCCCCCGCGACCCAGCCTTAGGTTCGGCAGTTGTACTACAGGAGGTCCATCGAGAAAACCCGCCAAATTTCTTCGGAAAATCTTCGGCAGGAGACTTGACCTCCCCAAAACCTTCCGAATAGCACGTGCAACAACATCTCTAAGCCAAAGCCTGCGAAAATCTCAAATCCTCAAAAAAAAACTTGAAAAAAGTCTCAAAGCCAAAACCTTCGAAAATCTCAAACTCCCCAAACAATTTCCGAACAACTCAAAACCAAACCTGCGAACATCTCAAAGTTTCCAGAGTTTGAGTTCGCCAGGCGGTCAGCAATGTGTGTTATATTGTTTGTCTCAGAATGTGTCCGTTGTTGGTTTTTGAGTTGTTTTTTTATGGTGTTTTTGATTTACATGTTGTAGGCTTTTCGAGTTTTGTTTGTAGAGTGTGTTAGAGCTGTTAGGCGTTTAGAGTTGTTGTGCAGTTACTACAGACTTGTTTTAGAGTTTGTTGTCCATCGTTGTCTTCGAGTTCTGGTTTTAAGTTTTTTGTTCGATCTGAGATTTTCCCAGGTTTCGGCTTAGACTTGTTTGAAGGTTTTTAGAATTGCGATTTTCGCAAGTTTTGAGAATTTCGCAAGTTTTTGAGATTTTCGCAAGTTTTAGAATTGAGATTATCGCAAGTTTAGAATTGAAGGTTTGAAGATTATTCGAAGTTTTCTAGACTCTGATTTTTTTCGCAAGTTTTGGCTGTAGGGATTTTTGAAGTTTTTTTGATTCGAGATTTTCGCAGGTTTTGGTTCGAAGATTCCTCGCGTTTTTTATTGCAAGAAAAGAGCCGGAGATGTTCGCGGGTTTTTTTGCATAGCTTTTTTAGAGATTGAAGTGTCCGCAGGTTTTGGCTTAGAGTTGTTTGGAAGTTTTTATTTGAGTTTGATGTTGTTCGCCCGATATGGCAGTGGACCGCCTGTATTCGCTATTGCCGAACCTAAACCCAGCCCGCGACCCACCTGCGACCCACCCCGTGACCCGCCCGCCACCCGCGACACACCCTGCGACCTACCCCGCAACCTACCCGCGACCCACCCCGCGACGCACCCCGCGACCCACTCCGCGACCCACCCCGCGACCCGGCCCGCGACCCACCCGCGATCCACCCGCGACCCACCCCTGAACCCACCCGCGACCCACCCGCGACCCGGCCCGCGACCCACCCGCGACCCACCCGCGACCCACCCGCGACCCACCCCGCGATCCACCAACATTGTTTTAACGAAGAAATCGGCGCCTGCGGTGGGCTTCATCAGAGCCTCGCAGACTGACGACGTCCTCGCCGCCCCCTCACTCTTAGTCGCAACTGAGGGGTGTTACGTGTATATATATATATATATATATATACCAGCAGCCTACACTGTATCGCCCCTGGACCTTAGGGGAGGGCGTCGGTGTATAACTCACCGCTGGGGGCCAGCGCTTTGATACACCGACCCCTCCCTGGAGGTGCTGGCAGAGTTCGTCGGAGGGCATATGTGTATATGTCTGTTCGTGGCGCAGAAGGTGGGGCGAGGAGGGGACAGCACAGAGGGGAAAGAGAACTCGTCGCCACGGCTGGAATCGCCTCGAAGCCCAGACCCCCGCGGGTCCTGACACAACTCACGGCGGGAGGGTGTTCGCTGTTTTTCGGCCCTTGGGCGCCTTTGCTGGGCCTCGGGGCTGTCAGAAAACGACCAGGGATGGGAAGCTGGTCCCTGGCAGCGGGTCGAGACCTATGGGGGTCGAAGTCATGGAACAATCACGACGTCGGGGGTCTGGGAGGGGAGACCAGAGGAGGGAAAGCAACATGCTGGGAAGACAGATATCAGGTTGGGGGGATGGGGTTGGGAGCAATGAGGACATGATTACCCGTAGGCGGCCAAGGTATCGTGCATGGCGTTCGGATACCATTGTTCGTATCCTTCAGCCTCCAAACCCCTTCCTCCCAATGCGATAGTGGTTCTCCTCAAACTCGTCGCCACGGCTGAATTCGCTTCGAAATCCTGGCCAGAACGCACAGGTCCATGAGTGATGTGCGGTGCTTTCAGTGGCGGTCCTTGGGACGAGGAAAGGGGAGCTCGGGGAAGTGCAGACATGGAATCGAGGCACGCGGATGAGCGACGGGTCACGCTTCCATGCGAAATCGGAGCGGTTCGTCTCCAATTCAGGCGGCATTGGCTTCGTTTTGAAGGGCTCTTTTCTCCCGGTCCATGGATTTGGCGGCCAAGGATTTGGCGCCTACGCGGCAGATTTGCGGATCCGTCAAATGTTATCGCGTGCCCGAAGAATGGTGGGCCTCCCATCCCCCTACCCGTTCTCTGGAGGATGGGAGGTTGATGATTCTCGAGGGTGTGCAGGAGGAGCGAGGGGGAGAGGGAAGGAGGGAGGCGGGAGGAGGAAGAGGTAGAGTAGGAGGAGCGGGAAGAGTACGAGGAGGAGGAAGAGGAGGAGGAGGAGGAGGAGGAGGAGGAAAGGGCGGCAAAGGAGGAGGCAAGGGGGTGGGAGGGAGAAGGAGAGTGCAATGGGGAAGAAGAAAAAAAGGGGGATGGAGGCAAGGATGCCAGAGACTGAGGAGGAGGAGGAGGAGGTGGAGGAGGCGGAGGAGGAGGAGGCGAGGAGGAGGAGGAGGAGGAGGAGGACGGGCGTCGCAGCAGTGAGAAGGACAAGCCGGAAGGGGAAGGAAGGAAAAGAGGGGATGAATGAGGGAGTCGGAGGAGAAGGTGGAGGCGGGGTTCATGCGCGCAGGAGCAGGTATGCTGGAAGAGGAACGAGGGGTTAAGGGAGGAGGAGGAGGAGGAGGAGGAGGCGGAGATGGAGGCGGGGGAGGAGGTGGAGGTGGAGGTGGAGGTGGAGGTGGAGGTTGAGGAAGGAAGGAGGATGAAGACGGCAGTCGTAGTGGGGAGAGGAGGAGGAGGAGGAGGAGGAGGAGGAGGAGGAGGAGGAGGAGGAGGAGGGTGAGGAGGAGGAGGAGGGGGCGGAGGAGGTCGAGGAGGATCCCACCCGATCAATCTCCATGTCATATGCATTGACATTGTATTCGCTGCGTCCCTTGGGGACCTACAGTCCGACCTAGGCATCTCTTGTTGGTTAGAGATGCTTCGCTCAGGACGGGTGGCTGGGGTCATCATGGGCCCCCTAGCAAGAGCTGGACCACTTCGAGAAACAGGCCACAGCGCTCGCAGGGTCATCTCTCGGGACTAGGACACCTGAGTGACAGAGAAAACAAGAAGTCTCTACGGCCAATCAGCTCTTTCGTAACGGCTCTTACCTTTCTGCATGAAGTTTGGATTCACCAAATGCCTGCCATCCTGGTGCACTCAGCCCAGAGTGATCAGATCCCCGCCCCCCCCAGTGCATGGGCGTTGCAAGAAGTACGAGCGCTCTCAGCACAGCCGCATGTGAGCCTGCGTACTCTTCATTTGTGCAGATTTGGTGCCAGTGCTTGTCGTCCTACCTCTTTGCTGGCCGTCCACACCCCGTCCCTTTCCCCACGGCTCGACTCGATGCAGGACGGACCCTTGTGCAACCATCCCCAGGGTCATGGGGCTCTGGGCGGCCTCACTTTTGATCACCCGTTGGGCCCTGCTAGACCTCATTTGTTACCTTCAGGTCTTTGTAATCTCCTTGCGTTCACCATGTTTCAGGAGGCTCGGCAACGTGGGCCGATCCTTGGCGGCCGATGCGACCAGTTACCCACGGGCCAACCTTCCCGAGGGCCTCGTTGTTGGACCCCTTCAAGAGATGAGAAGTTATGGGAGGTTGTTGACCTGGATTTCCCAGGATATGATCGGCCATTACCGTTTGGGCTACGCAAATTTTGCACCCCTGAGGCCCTCAGGATCCTTATGTGTACACAGCTGCAGGGTCAGATTGTGCAGTACACCAGCGGGGGTTCTGCCCAACTGTGCCGACCTAGGACTGTCCCCGTTCCCTCCACTCACCTCCGACTGCTGCTCAGCTTAGGTTTCAAAGGGGGAAGGGCCTGTGCGGGAAGGTGTGCCGTGCTCACGAGCAACGCCAGAGTCCGTTCTCTTTCAAACAAAAACAGTACCGCTCGGGTGCTGCGGCGCAGCCGCGGCTCGTCTTTGACAGTACTCTACACGGACGAAGGTCTCATCTTTTCCTTCCCCCTTTTTCAAGGCCTGATTCCCTTTTCGTGCGCATGTGGCAGTAGTCCGTCGTGGAGACCGAGGCGGCTGCCAATGCTGCTTGCTGCTCTCGCCTTCTTCTTTTCCGTTTCTCTGCGTCCCACCCCGTATAGGCATCAACAACGTTTGCCTGAGCATGAATGAATGAATGAATGAGGAGGAGGAGGGGGAGGAGGAGGACGAGGACGAGGAGGAGGACAAGGAGGAGGAGGAGGAGGAGGACCAGCATTACCATCACGACGACGACGGCGACGGCGACGGCGACGACCCGTTGCCGACGACGAATCCAGAGGAGTCCAGAGGTCCCCAGAGGCCCCCAGAAGCCCACAGAATAGTAGTTGTGAACCGATTGCCCCCAGCCCCCGGAAGCCTCCCAAAGTCTTCGAGGCTCTCCTCGGGTCCCTCCTTTTCCACAGCTTCCCCTGCCCCGTCCCTGCTTCCACGCCTGCCCTTCGCGATTGCATGGTGCAGCAGGGACCAGGGCGAGCAGGGGCCGCCGGCGCCGCGGCGCGTCGGAGCCCTGCGGGCGCCCGGCAAGCCTTCCCACGCCTTGCACCGCGGGCCGTGCAGAGGCTGCAAAGGGTGTCTCGAGCCGGCCACATCGAATTTCGCGCAGCTGCTCTGATCGGCAGACCCTCACTCTAACCTGACCACCCTGCTCCGCCTTCATTGCCTCCGTGACCATGATGGTCCAGGTCTATCGAGCTGAGCGCATCGAGCATCCCCTCGGCGCCAGCTTTCGTTTCCACCGTCCCCCGGCCTGTCGTGGTAGCTCTGCGACCCTTGCGAATGAGATCCTGACGGGTCCAATCAACGTTGGGGTGGTGCACTCGGCTGCAGCGAGATTGTTTTCTTCATCCTCTGGCGCGTAACGGTCGTTACCCAGGCCACCCCCCCTTGCCTCCTGGGTAACAGTAACGGTTGTACGTAGAGAGGCGGCCTGGACCCTTCACACACACATACACACACGCACGCACGCACGCACGCACGCACGCACGCACGCACACACACACACACACGCACACACACACACACACACACACTCACTCCGTCTCTCACTCACTCACTCACACGCTGGTGCTCGCGCGCACACCGTGGCGATCGCAGCGCACCCCTGCCTCGACGTGCCCCACCCCACCCAAGCGTTACCGTTACCTGGGGACCAAACCCCTCCCGGGTAACGACCGTTAGGGGAAATAGTACATAGCAAGATCAGCCATCTCTTGAATTCTCTACGTTTCGCGTAACCCCGCCAGCGGACTGGCATCATCCCATCGTCGCTCCCCCGCTCCACCCGGATGAGCGGTCAATTCCCTGGGCTTCTTCGTGACCACTGGCTGTTGCTTGGGTTGCAGCTGGTAAGCGGCAGCACAGCTCCCAGAGCGCCATCGTCTACACTTCACTCTGGCACGCCAGGGTACCAAGGATAGGCGGTTCTGTTTATGCTGGTCACGTTAGATGCTCCCTGGTACGCGTCCCTGTTTTTATCTCGGTTGGCGTCGCTTGCGACTTGTGCCTGGTAGAAGATTGGGACAGTTCTACCTTCCGCATAGCGTCACATCATATCACTTGATGGCCGCGCGCGTTCGCATCCATTCGCGGTTGTCTCCTGGGCCTGACGTGCTTCGTTCGGTTTCTGACACTACGAATTTCGCGCCTTTAGGCTGCGTGGGTGCGTACTCTGAAGCTGCGACGGTTCGCTGGCGCTGTCAGAGTCCAACCTCCCCTTACGGGACGCCGTCTGGCGACAGCTTGCGTGTCTCTCGGTCGATGCTTGTGCATGACAGGCACCCTGGGACCCCTTGTACGCCATTCCCGCGCCGAGGTTGGAGACTCCCTACTGTGATAGTGTCACAGGGCGTACTGCTTACTATGGCCTCTGACACGTTGGGGGTATTTGCATCGCGCCACTTTGGCAGCGTAATTACTGCTCCCTGGGTGCTGGTCCCGCCGTCAGACTCCCTGGGCTGCAGCACCCTTGCACCCGTCGCCCGGCGCCGGCCGCGGCCCGCGCGCGCGTCCGGCCAATTAGTTTCGGCCGCAGCCCGACCGTTACTTGCCGCCGCTGGCGCTCCCGCCCGCGGCTGTAACAACAAAAAAAAAAAAAACGCCAGCCCATCCAGAGACGATGCCCGAATGAGTTGCCTCGATCAGGGAAGTGGGCAGCACACAGAGGAAGGGTCCCTTTTGGAGCGCTCTTGTGGCCGTGGGCCTCTCTTGGGGCCTTCACGGACCTCTGGCAGCGTCTTGGGTGCCTCGGGGGACTCTTGGGGCCTCTTGGGGTCTTTTGGGAGCCTCTCGGAGGCCTCTTGGGCACTTCTTCGGGCCTCCTGGGCGCCCTGGAGCCATCTTGAGGCGCTCTTGGGAGCCATGGGAGCGCTGTTGGGGCCATCTTGGAGGAGATCGATCAAACAAGATGGGAGCTCTAATTTCGTTCCCCCATCGGGAGCCCCAATAACCGTCTCTTGGGCCCCTCTTGGGGCGCTCTTGCAGCAGTCTTGGGCGTTCTTGGGGCCCCCATGGGCCCTCTTGGAGCTGTCTTGGGGCCTCGGAAGGCCATCAGAAGCGAAAAGGCGAGAAGGCAACATTCATTGATTGTTCTTAGGTGTTTGAAAGATTCTGGCCTCTTGGCGGCCTCCTGGTGAGGTTCCGTGGCCACTTGGAGCCGTCTTGGAGCGGTCTTGGGGCCTCTAGGAGCATCTTCGGCGCCATCTGGAGCCACCCTCGGCTATCTTGAGTCATTTTGAAGGTCATCTTGGGTTTTCCGGAGCCCTCTTGGAGCCATCTTGGGCCATTTTGGATTCTCCAACGCCTCGCGAACCCTCCCTCCAGGTCCAGGGGAGGGGGCAATGGGAGGGACTCCCCGGAAACTGGATGGATCCCAGCCACTTTGTCCCAACCTCAACCGTTCGTAGAATATTGCAACCAGAAATGGTCCCAAGCCCAACGGCTCAAGACATCTCACGAGATCTTAAGCGACCTTACGAGGTCTCAAGATATCTTACGAGATTTTAAGAGAGAGTTCAAGGTATCCGCACTTAAAGGATATCCAGGGATCTTAGGAGATCTTCCGATAGCTTCAGGGACCTTCAGAGGTCTTCATCTATATTAACAGATAGTGCGAGATCTTACGAGATCGAATGATGTCTTAATACATATACATATGTGTTAAACATGATACTACGAGATCTCA